AAGTTAAAAATTCGCAAGATTCGCTGAGATACAGCTATTTTTGTACGATGCATTTTTTAGCTTAAATTCTGCTTCGCTGGTTTTTTAATGAATAGAGCTAGCTCAGAATTATTGAATTTATAGCCTAAAAAATGCATCGTACAAAAATAGCTGTATCTCAGCGAATCTTGCGAATTTTTAACTTCTGAAACTGGCGTTGGAAAGGTGAGAAAAAAACCTATCAGATAGTTCCATGCAATTTTTCCATAGTTGATTCTACTTATCCATTTCCTGAAAGAAACTAATACACTTTTCGATTTTTCAATTTTTCGTAATGTCGTTTTTTGGGATAAAGTTGTATTTTTCTGCATTAAAATAATTTCAAAGTGTATACTAATTTATACCATTTGATTTGTCATGAAAACATAAATTTTGGTGGTGTCAAAAAATTTTCTAGATTTTTTCTGTTCATTTGCCACTCGCTCGAAAATGAACTTTGCGGAATTTGCGAAAAAGAACGATCGAAAAAGTGTATTTTTTTGAATGAAATTGTGCTCCTAGGTCAAAACTGACTACAGCATTCAATTCTGCTGACAAAAACAAATAAGAAAATGTATTGTCAAGATTATTTTTACACTCTAAACAGAGTTTGAAATAAATTGAATGATAGCCCGATTTTGCTTCTTTTTTGGAGCTCGTTTTTAAACTTCAAAAATCCATTGACACCATCTAAAATCATTTTTTTGAGTTCTAGTTTATGGGAAAATTCATTTTAAACCTCAAATTTTCTGATTCCGATGGATCCCCCGAGATACAAAAAATTTTTGAAAAAGTGGACCACCCTACTATATATGCTTATAGCTCAAAAAAGTGTTTTTTTTTGTATAAATACGCTTGACTTTTGAGCCATTTTTTTGGCCATATAATGCGTTTTTTGAAAAATCTAAGGTCACCATCGGAAAGAGCATGTAAAAATCTTTCAAAATACATGTGTCGATTATTTTTTCAAGGTCACTAGTAGTTTTACCAGCGAATTAGAAAAGTTTTGATCGGTGGATAATGGAGCGCGCGTTTTGCCTCCACTAATTATTTTTCCTCGGAACACAAATGCTTATAAAAAAATTACCTATTAAAATTTCGATTGTTCACGCATTTTTTTAGCTTCCTAGGACCTTCAAGAACAATACCCAATGTTCAAAGTATGCGTCCAACGAAAAAAAATTGTTCCGTTTTTAGTCGAAAAATTCGAAACTAAATTCCGGAATTGCTCATATAGGCGGGCGCCGACGGGGGGGGGCCACGCGTTGACTAGCAACGCGAGTACATACGTGGGGCCTACAGCGGCGCGCTCGTTTGCTCCGCGGCTCGCTCAGCTGATCGTGCAGCAGACGAGCGTTTGTGCGACCACGTACGTGGTCGTCACAAATTTTCAAAATTTCAATGATTTTTTGAAGGCCTGAAGCACTCAAAAAATCTGAAAAAATTCAAGGTTGTTCAGTTTATTGAAAAGTATTTTTGTGAATTTTTTCAGATTTTTTAATTACTTCAGGCCTTCAGAAAAAATATAGATCGAAAATGGACGTTTATACCGGAAGTGGGAGATAGGAGGGGGGAGGGGGTCTAAGATTTTGGTTTTGGGACCTTTTTACCATGTACTATAACATACCAAAAGCGCGTCAAGATCGGTGACATACGAGCGCAGGTTTATTTAAAAAATTCTGAGCCTTATCCATATATATTGATGAAGGGCTGTGAGCTCCAATTTTGTTATTGTTGTTGATTTATTGTTTAAAGGAAGGCTGTGAGCTACTGTGAGATGCTGTGAGCATATTGGGATACCGTGTGCTATTCAGAGGAAGGCTGTGAGCTGTTGGAATTATATTTGCACATCTGGAAGGAAGTTGTGAGCTGCTAGTGTGAAATTGTTCAATTTGATCTTGGTTGTTGGAAGCTGTGTATGTATAAATTGTTCAAAGGAATCCTGTAATACAGGTTGGATTGTTGTTTACACTTTGTGGTATCAATTTCTCGGTTGATGACATGGCTGACACAAACATTATTAAACCCTTTCTTTGTGAGGGTATGGATAAAGCGTTGGTCAGTGTGGAATGGGAGGAGTGGCTAAGATCCTTTAATCTGTATCTGACAGTGGCAGGAATTGAGGAAGCGAAAAAGAAGAGAGACAGATTGTTGCATTTTGGTGGTACTCAACTTCAAGAGGTAGCTTATAGTCTGCCTGAAGCTGTTGTTGATACTGCACTAGAAGGAGATGATGTTTTTAAAATTCTTGTTCAAAAACTCAGTGATTATTTTTCACCTGCAAAAAATTCAACCTTCGAGCGGCATGTGTTCAGGAAAATCAAACCAGAGAGCGAGGAAAATTTTAACAAATTTTTGCTTAGGGTAAGACATGCAGCTAAACGATGTTCCTTTGGCAAAAATGAGACTGAGAGCTCCGAATTAAACATGAAGCATTTAATTATTGATAATTGGGCTTCTCTCGACTTGAAAAAGAAAACTTTGGAAAAAGAACACACACTTGATCAAGTTATTGAATTGTGTCTCATTCATGAGCAGATTACAAATTGTAACGACGGGTTTTCTTGCCCGTCGATTACTTTAATAATAATATCAATAATAATATGTGTCGTCTGACTGAAGGCTTGACTCTACTCGCGGTTGTCTCTGGGGTGAGGTGAGATGAAGGAAGGATAACACAGAATTTCACAAGAGACTGTTTATTGACCAAACTTATATTTAAAATACAGTAGAGTTAGCTTAAAAGTTACTGGGTTATCTTCGGCGGCGTCGTTCGTTGAGCGGCGAATGAGTGGGAGGGCGGCCCCGTGTCGGTGCGGTCTCGGCTGGTCGGCGAGGGTGATCTCGGCGTCGATGAGGCCGGCACGGCGTCGACGTGCTTGGCGGCGTCGGTGGTTGCGGCTGGACGGGCTCGCGCACTTTTCGAATAACTGACTCGCACTGATTTTATCTGGTCGGAGCCGAGCAACGGACTAGTTTTCAAGTAAACAGCGAACTTTGAGTCGAGAAGTAAAGATGTACGTTAATACCGAACCGACGAGCGCCGATGTGTACGCCTCGAACCGAAAACTGTGAATGAGCCCCGAGACTCTCTGAGTCCCGGTTTATATACCGTTTGTTGCTGCCGTACCCTCTTTGTCTGGGCGAGGATCGCCGTAAACTTTATGTGTCCTCTAGAGCTTGCGGGCTGCGCGTTTTTCCCATCCGTCGTTTCTGGGAATTTTTAGCGAACGCTCGAGCCGTTCCCTTAGTTGCTTTGCTCGTTTACCCGAGCGCAAGTTGTGACCTGATTTTTGCCAACATCTGATTTTCTGCGAATTGCCCGAGCCGGTTACCCTATCGCATACCCGGTAACGAAGGCATCATAAATTTCGACTTGTGGCTTGCAAGCGCGAGTCATGCTCTACACAAGCGCGCGCTGCTCCATGCGTGTGCGCACTCACACCAGTGCGTACCGCGGCGTACGTGAGTGGGCGCACACTAACGTTTGCTGCTCTATCCGTGTGCGCACTCACACCAGTACGCGCTGCGGTGTACGTGTGCAGTCGCACACTAACGTTCACGGCTCTGTCCGTGTGCGTACTCACACCAGTGCGCGCTGCGGTGTACGTGTGCAGTCGCACACTAACGTTCACGGCTCTGTCCGTGTCCGCACACACACACAAGTGCACGTCACGGCATACGTGTGCAGTCGCACACTAATGTTTGTTGCTTTCATCCGTATGCGCACACACACAATTACGTGCCGCGGTGTACATGTGCGGCCGCACACCAGCATGCCCGTTCGGGACTTGGTGTTGCACCGGGCTGATTTGCCGCCCCGGTGTTTTACCTACTCGTGGCCGTAAGGATGCTATGACCCTTGTGACTGGGTCATTACAAAATCAATCAGCGAGTATGAGTGCATCGACTTCACAAGTTTTAACTAATTCTAGTTATGTCAACAAAATCAACTATCAAGGTAATAAGAAAGCCGAAAATTTTTCACGTTGCGGCAGGATGACACATGGAAATAACCAAGTTTGTCCGGCTAAGGATGTCAAGTGTCATACTTGTGGTCTGCAGGGCCATTATGCCAGATGTTGTAAATCACCTGCACACAAAAGGAAGTCCGTCACCTCAAATTTTCGAGATGGCAACAATAAACGTTTTAAACATAGGGTTAATTTTGTTGAAGATGCATCTGAAGATATTGAAAGTGGTGAAAGTAATATTGGAAATTTTGATTGTATAGGCAGTTATACTACCAAAGTTGCGCTCGCTCGGACGGACGGACGGACGGACGGACGCTCGGTTTTCACGGGTTTACCCCTGGTACCAAACGCAAATATGAATCACATACTGACTATGAATCAAATATGAATATGAATCAAATATGATTTCACATCAAAAATGAAGCTTGCCAAGCGCAATATCATCCTGTTCATCGATAACTGCAATGCCCATAAAATTATTCCTGAACTGAGTAATATAAAAATTCAATTTTAGCCAGCAAACACAACATCTATTCTCCAACCTTTATGTAATGACCCAGTCACAAAGGTCATAGCATCCTTGCGGCCACAGGCAGGTGAAACGCCGGGGCGGCAAGTCAGCCCGGTGCAGCATCAAGTCCCGAGCGGGCATGCTGGTGTGCGGCCGCACATGTACGCCGCGACGCGCGCTGGTGTGTGTGTGCGCAACCCGGATAGAACAACAGACGTTGGTGTGCGACGGCACATGTACGCCGCGACACGCGCTGGTGTGTGTGCACACACGAAAAAGACAGCGAACGTTAGTGTGCGACTACACACGTACGCCGCGACGCGCACTTGTGTGTGGGCGCACACAGATAAGAGCAACGACCGTTTGCGACTACGCATCAGAATCGCGATGCTTCTTTCATGAGCACGCGATCTAATGATCGGCCCAGGCAATAGGTAAATCCCGGATGCCACGAAGGTCGGGTCCCGACTTACGCCGATGCTCGGGCATGCGGGCCAAGTAATTAGGAAAACGACCCGAGCATCCGCTAGAATATTTGTTTATAATCCCCGCAAAAACGACCGGATGCGAAAATGCGCGGACCGCAAGCTTAAGAGGACACATAAGTCAACGACGATCTCCGCCCGAACAAAGGGGATGCCGAGAAGCAGCCAGTATATATACCGGGACGTTAGGGAGTCCCGGGCTTCTTCTTTTCACGGCAGTCGCGGCGCGTCCACTCAAAGCTCGTACGCTCAAGCTCGATCACCCGAGGCTTGTTCATTTCGCGACTTATCCTCAGCCAGTCTGTTGCTCGGCTCCGACCAGATAAAATCAGAGTGCGAGTCAGTTATTCGAAAAGTGCGCGAGCTCATCCAGCTGCAACCACCGACGCCGCCCATTACGCCGACGCCGGGCCGCCCTCGTCGACGCCGCATCACCCTCGCCGATGAGCCGAGATTGCACCGCCACGGGCCGCCCTCGTCGACGCCGTATCACCCTCGCCGACCAGCCGAGATCGCACCGCCACGGGCCCGCCCTCCAGCTCATCCGCCGCTCAGCGAACGACGCCGCCGAAGATACCCCCAATAACTAGTAAGCTTACACTACTGTATATTAGATATAAGTGTGCAATAAACCGTCTCTTGTGAAATTCAGTGTTATCCTTCTTTTCACCTCACCTCACCCCAGAGACACCGCGAAGTAGAATCAAGCCCTTCAGTCAGTCGACATATGGTATTATTATTCATATTTATTGTTATTGTTATTTAAGTAATCGATGGGCTAAAAACCCGTCATTACATTTAGATCAAGGAATTATAAAGAATTTTAAGTCATTCTACCGTAAGGAAATCATCAATCAAATCCTCTTAGATATAGAATCCCACGGAAAACCGACTGACATCAATATTCTTCACGCCATCAGAATGATAGATAAATCATGGAGAAATGTAAAAAAAGAGACCATAATACATTGTTTTTTGAAATCGGGTTTTTTTAATACTGAGGTTCAATTTCATTATACTGTAAATGAAATAATAAAACCTGAAATTCAGTGGCCTCAAATGAAAATCGCATTACAATTAGAAGATTGTATTACTTCAGAAGACTACATTTAAGTTGACAACCAAGTATCGGTCACAGGTTTTAGTACTGATCAAGAAATTGTAAATAATATAAAAAAAGGAAGAGAAGACGAAGAAGATGATGATAGTGGAAGCGAGGATGATATTCAAGAAACTCCAATAACAAACTTTCAAGTTACTGAAGCTATTCGTACCATCAGACATTTTATAGAGTGAGTTGATTATTACGAAGATGAATATTCAGCTTTGCATAAAATTGAAGTCTGCATAGATCGGGAACATGAAAAAAAAATGACCGATTATTTCAATTTTAATAGTACCGTAATGTTAAATTTAATTATTATTTTATTATTTTTTTATATGTTATTTTGTTAAAAGAATTTCGTTATGCAAGAATAATGATACGATAGTTGCTAATGAAAACAAAAAGAAAAAAATCAAAATCTCAATAGCTCGAATTATTTTTTATTCCCTCGCTTTAACTCAAAATCTCGTTAACTCGAAAATCGCAATAACTCGAAAAATAAACTGTTCCCCGAGGATTTCGACTTATCGAGATTCCACTGTATATAGTAGAGTACAGGAAAACCCCGGTACACGCGGTACTCGGTATACGCGGATTCGCAAGTACTACTTACGCGGTTTTTGAAAAAAGGCCATGATTCTATATACGCGGTGTTTGCTTCGTTTTTACGCGGTTTGTAGCAACATTCACAACTATTTCTCTTAAAAGTTTGTTGACGTTTTCTCATTTTTGTAAAGGTTAATAGTAGTTTTACAGCAAAATTTTTTGGTTTGTTTTGCAACGTTATGGCTCCCACAAAGAAATCTCTGAATAAAGCACTGTGATGGATATTGCCTATCATTTTCAAATTTTTTGAGGCTCCGGAACGTAACCCCCTTTTACATAAGAATCAATGCTTCCGTATACGCGATTTCGGTGTACGCGGTACTTTTGTGGAACGAATTAACCGCGTATACCGGGGTTTTCCTGTATGTGGTTAGCTTGCTCCTCCAAATTTCCACCTGCTCCTCCACAATATTTTCAAAAATGTGAATTTCACGTGATTTTTGCATGATTTTCACTTGTTTTTCACCGTTTTTAATTTATTATTTTCTAACTGCTCATCAAAATTTCCACTGCTCATCACTGCTCCTCCACTGCTCCTCCACCGCGGAAGAGCCATTTTTCCTGCTTCTCCGCCGTAAATCCACCGAGATACGTGATAGGTACTTTTATAATGAACAACAAAAAATTTCATCGAAATTTTGTCGATTTTAAATGCTTCTATCTTGGGCTTTATTTATCGTATCGACACGAATTTTTTTTGATTTCTTGGAAGTTTTGCCTTCTTTCAATCCATATAAATATATTATGATTAGATTCGAGTCAATATCGAGTTACCAGTAGTATTTGAGCGCAACACTAAAAATTACTGAAAAAATTGATTGTTTGAACGTGTACGAGTACCACAGTAATTTTTTTATTGAAATATAACATGCACCATCGCAAAGTACTCTTTTCAACGAGTAATTTCAAAAAAATAGAGCTTTCTACGATAATTTTGCGCCCTGTAGGTCGATTTGAAAGTACCGCAAAATACCCCGAATTTTATTCTATCTGTTACATAATTCTTCCACAAGAGGGCTACTAGTGTAATTCATCTACACTCAGTATACCTTTCAGCGACATTTTTTTTCCACGGCGAAACCTCCAAAACAACGTTCGGAGAGGTCGATAATTTTTTCTTTACTAGCTACTCGTTACAATAAACTAATTACTCGCTACTCATTACACTAAAATATTAACTCGCTGCAATCAATTTGTTTAATTGAGTATGAAATTGTGTAAAAAAAATGTCATACTCAAAATTTAAAGAAAATTGGTCTCTTTTGAGGTTATCTACGGGAGATTTACTTATTCATAAAGATTCCCGTGGAAAACTAGTGTGAAAAGAGAAAAATTGATCACAGCACAGTTCTAGCCACAAGTGGTAAGTGCATCGAATGTCATTGATATGTTGATTCAATGTGCAGTATTCTTATATGAATGAATATAAATGTTTACAGATGTGTTGTCGAAACTTGAAAACATGAAAAAACATCTTACTATGACTGCGAAGGTATCTTTAAAAGTTCGGAATGAAACGAACATTATCAACAATAATTTGGTAAAAGAACCTGAACAAAAATTTTCAATTGAAACATAAATCTCGAATGAATCTGAAGTACCATCTCTCGCTGGACCAAAACCAATAAAAGAATTTTTGGAAATGACCCCTCAGCAAAACAGAAACAACAATGTTGATAAAAATCCAACTGGTAAAATGTTCAATTATTTAAATGTATCGTGAAAAGCATTTACGCCCACCTAAAAATGATAATATTTTTTGTATTTAAAAATTAATTTGTTAGGAATAATGTCAGTTTCAAATCAAAAGTATTTCCAATACATTTACGTGATACGATCTTCATACAGGATTCTTAATAATTTAATCTTACATAATAATAGATATAGAATTTTTGAGCAGCAAAGAAATTCTTTCTCTGACTGTGTATCTGGCAGTACAAGGATACTTTTATAAAATAGCTCAAGTTCTACTCATATATACAATTGATAAAAATCTTAGTCTGTATAATCATAAATTAAAATGAGTTGCAGTTAATGGAAATGAGAGTGCTCTCTCAAGTCAAACCTTGAAACTCGCCATACCAAATGTTGGACATGAAACAGACATTGCAAACATTAATTGGGCATTGAAACCTCAAGCTGAATTCGTTACTGATTCTGAAAAGGAATCTTCTGCTGCACCAGAACCAATAGAAGAGGTTCTGGAAATGACAGCTCAGCAAAAGAACAACGTTGATGAAAATCCAACTGGCAAAATGTTCAATTATTTAAATTTATCTTAAAGGCCCTTTAATTCTTTAAAATATTTGTTTGGAATAATGTTAAAATTAAAAGAGTATTTTTCATACGTGATATCATCTTCATACAGTATCAATACTTATGTAGTCAAGAATTTGCACCTTAGCACCATATCATATCATACAATTTTTTATCACACTTACACTAAAATAAAAATAGATTGTTGGATCAACAGAGAAATTTTTTAACTGTGTATCTTCACATTTTGTGAAATCAATAAATAAAAAGTAGTTCCGTTCTATAGGGAGTCGCCATTTTGTCACCCAGTTATTCGCGATGTGATTGGCCGATTCCGTTAGATCGCTGCTCAATTCAGTCGATATAGCAGTGTGAATAGTATAATTTGAAATAGTTCGAATTGTAATATATAAGATGATAATAATAAAACATACAGATATATGGAGACTAGGTGTCAAAACGACGATTCTCAATGAACAATTGGTATGCCCGAGTAAACACAATCTGTGTAATGAAAAAAACTGTACTGAAACGCTTATAATATAGCAATTGATTGGAGAAAAGAGTTTCAGTTTCCAGAATTGGGGAGATAAAATAAATATATCGTTTTATTGCATACAATGTGTCTTTCTTTAGATTTTCACCCACATTCCTATTTCAAAAATAAGCAAGTGTATGTATGTACGTAATAATAATCGATGTCGCATGATCGAGCGAGCGACAGATAAGGAGAGTAGAATATTGAGTAATTAGATCGAAAGATTCCGCGATGTTATCGATCGAAAGAGCGTGTGGTCGGCCGTTTTCGAGCGCCGCGGTCTATTTTTTTGATACCCTTTACGTTTCTTTGTCTGTTACGGTTACTTTTACCATAAAAATAAACAAATACATGATTTTTGTGTATTTTTATCCTCCTCTTTCCAATGGTGCAATCAATTTTTGAAAAAGTTGCTTTGTTTTGGGAATAAAACGAAAATAATTAATCTATTAATCAAAAAATTTAATTTATCTGTTCAAAAAAGCCAATTTTTCATTCAAATTCGTGCCAAATTATAAATTTTAATTATTTTACATTTCTTTCGTTCAATCACTAGCCAAAAGTATAAACTTTGAGAAATATGTTAAATTTTCGGTTTCCGACGATCCTGTCAGGAAATATACTGCGTACCGAATGCCAACAGGATAACCGAGAAAACCCGATTAAAAATCAACGATTTTCAATATTTTTATCTGAAATTTTTTTGCAGCTACTTCAATAGATAAAATTTGTTGTGCCAAAGGTTTTAATTGATTGAACTTTTGGTTTTAAAAATGTAATTTTTCAAAAAAAAATCATTGTCATCACACAAAACTATGAAACCCCTTAAGTCACACGTATCATAATATACCATTTTCTTTTCTTTTTTCAAGTACAACTGCAAATTGCGTTCCTTCTGAACGAGAAAGAGAACTTGAAAGTATGCTACAAGGTTTGAAAGATAAATTCAGCTCACTAGGGGTTAATGATCCTTTAAGGTTACGAATCCTCACAGTAGCTCCAGATAGTTGGAGCACAAATAAAATCGCCACAGAGTTTAACTGCAGTTGGAACTTTGCAAAAAAATCAAAAGATTTGAAATCATCGGGTGGCATTTTAGCCGAAACTTGCCAGAAGAAAGGTCATGGCTTAGATCCAGCAATCACCCAAAAAATAATAGATTTCTATTATTCTCATAGTAGAGTCATGCCCGGAATAAAACAATTCGTGTCCATTAAAACTGACAACGGTCGTATTCATGAACAAAGAAGGCTTCTTTTACTCGGCCTTAGAGATCTTTATTCATCATATATGGTAGATCATAAGGAATCGCCTGTCAGTTTTAGCAAATTTGCTCAATTACGGCCCAAAAATTGTATTTTAATCGGTGGCAGCGGCACACACACCGTTTGTGTATGCACGATACATGAAAATTGTAAACTTATGATTGATGACATTGACCTGACAAAACTAACGGCTGATTCAGATCTTAAATTAGTAGGCTATAAAGATTGCTTAAAACAAATAACGTGTCCAAATCCTAATGATAACTGTTATTACAACGACTGCGAAATATGCAAAAATGTAGAGAAATTCACGAACTATTTACAAGCACTATTATACGAAAAAAATATTTTTGAAGTAGAATTTTCATCGTGGACAGCAACTGATAGATGTACCTTATTAAGTCAAACTCTTCCTTCAGACGATTTCGTTGAGCTACTCATGGAAAAATTAGTGGCTTTAAAAACGCATTCATTTATTACTAAACAGCAATCGGAATTTTATGAATCGAAGAAAAATAAGTTGGCA